AGTTGTCCTGTTTCTTTAATATTCTTTGATCTTAAAATTCCCTTGACCTTTCTTGTGCCTTTCTTTTGCCCCCCTCTCCTGCTCTTTGTCACCACTGAGCTGCGTCCCCCTTCATCGCCTGGATTGTGGGGCCCCAGTCTCCCACCTTCCTAGCCTTTCTTTCTCTTTATGACACTGGTATCTTTGAAGAATATACTCGTGTGTGTGTGTGGAGGGGGTGTGTGTGTGTGTTTTACTGAGGCTGAACTCAGGGGTTCCCTTCCACTGAGCCCATTCCACTTCTTTTTGGTTTTTGAGTTAGGTTCCCACTGATTTTCCCCAGGATTACGTCGAGTTCAGGCACATTGGGCTGGAGGATCCCAAAGGAGGGTCTGTCTTCTGAGAATATCATTTCCAGACACAGATGACATTAATTTGTCCTTTTTAAAGGATCATGTACTTAAAAAGTATTTGTTTCCACTATGCAAATGACACTTTTCTTGGGTGATTATATATCTGTATGGAAATCATTTAAGATTGAAAATATGCCATTTCTCACCAGATTATCCACCAGTAGAAAGATTATTTAAATAGCATCACTTAGCAAAACAACCTTACTACCTACCATTTTACATTGCTTTTAGTTGGTTGGTTGGTTGGTTGGTTTGGGGGGATTGGCTTACATCCACCATTTCTGTGGGCTACACCCCATGTCTTTATTTCCTGGGCTAAATGGATCCATAGTTAAGATTCACAGCTACTTCCAGATCAGAGTTTGAAAGTGTGGGCCAGTTTTTTCTTGTTACAAAGAAGCAGGAGAAAGTCTGCATAGTACTCGAGTGTAAATTCCATAGCCCCGGGGTATTATATTTTCATCTTTGTCAGTAAGTTAGCTGAAAGATACCTCCTTTGTAATTCAAGTTAGCTCGAACATTTCTCTCCATTTTGGGGAACACACACACACACATACACTCACACAGACACATTGGTGACTAATTCATGCTTTTACTATGTATCTGCTGAAGTGTAAGTTGACCTTCATTAATCTAAAATAATTCTTTTAAAGTGAAGGACATCACTAGGTGCAGTGATGTCATCTCAGCAGCTCAAGAGGCTGCGGAAAGGCAATCCTAAATTAGAGGCCAGCCTGATCTACTTACC